GGAATCTAAATATAGCAAAATGGCACTGAAGTCATTTCCCCTTTTTTATTTTGTTCTTTACCATAACAATGCAGTTTGCAATAACTAAAAATTCAGAGGGAAAAGGAAACAAGTATCTTGAAATGTTTCAAGTGGTTGGAAGGGCTGCATCTATTTACCAAAGCAGAACCCCCACAGCACAGAAGGTTCAAGAGCAGACCAAAGCATCATGGCTATTTCTGGTCTACCCTGAGGCTGTTGAGAAGCTCTCCCAGAGCCTTCCTCGCTCAGAAATCCTGGGCGTGCATGAGTCATCCCTTCCCAGAAGCCTCATCCATGGGCTCAGAAAGGAGGGGGCAAGTGACAGAGAGAAGCACAAAGTGTGGGCCCAGTGCTGGACCCCATGAGGGCACTGTGGGCTTCAGTGTGCAGGCCCTGGGGTCCTGTGCACTGTCATCTTGCACCACTGTCCCTCCCTTCCCCTGCTCCCTTGGGCTCTCTCAGCCCAGGGATCTCATCTCTCTCAGGAGAGAAGGCAGGGGAGCCAAGCCCATTCATGGAGCTAACGCCAGGATGAAGGGGCTGTCTGTGCTAAGGGCCTTGGAAGCAAGCCTGCCTTCTTCCTCCAGGAAGGAAACCTAATTACAGGCCTCTGTGCAGGACAAAGGTGAGCACACTAGGATCACACACCTCCCATGACTATCTGGGTTGAGCCAGCCAGAGAACACAGAGGAAGTGGGCCCAGTGGTATCAGCCCTAAAGAGTTTCCCAAAGAATGTTGAAATCTACAACGTGACATCTTCCAATTCTTCAACACTGGCAATTCATTTATTTCAAAACACATCGTGGGCCAAAGAAAACACATGTGTGGATTGTGCCCCAATTCCATTTGCTCTGTTTTGCACACAAAGAGGCTCCAAAGACCCACTGGAGATCCAGGCTCTGAGACTCAGGGTTTTAAATCACGATGGAATTTCTGCAACTACAAAACATGGATATTGAAAATGCTTTTCTACAGACCCAAAGCAGAACAAACCTTCCCACGACTGCACTTTTACAATTCATTTCCTAAACCTGTGGCAGAAATCGCTACTAACCAAATTAAGCTAAAATTCTAAGTCAACCTATAACGTCCAATGACCTTAATCACCCATTCAAGTACTGTGCAAGGAACTGGGAATACAGCTGTAAATAATAAAGCCCTATGGCGCATCTGAGAGAGAGGGGGAGGGGGAGAGAGAAAGAGAGACAGAGAGAGAAAGAGAAAGAGACAGAGAGAGAGAGAGAGAGAGAGAGAGACAGAGAGAGAGAGACAGACAGACAGACAGGGAGAGTTGGAGGGCAGGGGGAAGGTAAGAGACAATTAATACAATAAAAACCTAGAGACGTCTCAAGGCGACGTCCCTGAGAGTGCTGAGCGGGGGCTTCTTTGGACTGCGGGTCAGGGAGGCAGACATCTGAGCTGAGACGGAAGGAGGACCAGCTGGGAAGACTCCAGGGTCTGCTGAGCAGAGAGTGGTCGGGGCAGAGGCAACACCTGCACAGAGGCCCCAGGCATTGAGGACTATGGAACATTCAGGAACTGGGAAGGCTGAGGAGGTGGCGCACAGCTGCTCTTGGGAAAGCGTTTGGCCAGGTGGGCTGGGCCAGATGTGCAGGGAGGGCTTGTCAGCCATGGTGGGAGCCTGGTGTGTTCTACGAGCTCTGGGCAGCCACGGGAGAACAAAGGGGCCACTGGAGGCCGCTTGGGGGTCACATTCTAGCGGGAGGTTTCCTGCCCTCCTGCGGCCACCTCCTCCCCCCTAGTCTTTTCCTGTCCCAGTGGGCCCAGCGGCAGGAGGAACTGGGAAGATTGCCTTCTTGTGGCTGCTCAGCCACATCCCCACAGGGTTTTGCTCAAGCTCTGATTTCCCCAACACCCCAGAGCAACCAGAGGTAGGACTTCTTTAGCAAGCTGACCTGAAGCAATCAGACAAGGTTTCCTGGGGGAGAATCCGGAACTTTCTATAACTCTGCTCCTTGCTACAGACCTCAGGCAGCATGCTCTCTTTTACAGGCCCCAAGAACTAACAGACGGGCTGCTCCTCCCACAGAAAGAAGAGGCTGCAAAGACCTCGCTGGACCAGCACACAGACTTGCATGGCTCACGTCCCTGTCCACCCGGCTTGTCTCGCCTCTCACATCACTAAATCCAGGCTTGGCTTGGCGAGGTTCAGCAGGGGGCCCACCTGCACTCAGCTAGGAAGGGATGGATCACAGAATCCAAACACAGGTCCCCTGCAAAGCCCAAGCTCCTGACCCCCATGCTGTCCCCACAGCCACCTCCCTGATGCTCCCCTGAGGATACCTTTCTAGAAGTGGCGTTGCTAGGCCTATGAAGGCTCTGATGGTATCGCCAAATTACCTTCCCCAAAGTCTGTACTGTGGTGATATAGACTTGGTGGGTTTTACATCTGCACCTTCATTTCAACCGGAGGTCAAAACACCACCTAACCCTAAATTCAGAATTCTGATCTGTCTCACTCTCGGTTTAGGTGCAGGGTACTGAACAAGGAAGGGCAGGTTCATTTTGCAAACGAGGGAACTGGGACCTGTGAGGCCAGCTCTGTCTCTGGGGGCCCAGAACAGCCCCTCACCCCCAGCCTTTGACCAAGACATCTGGTTTGATTATTTTGCCTGATGACTAGCCCGAACAAAAAAACATAAAAACCCTAGCCTCTTCTTCCTTGAAGTTCAGCC